AGCTACATCTACTAGCATATTTAGCTACATCTACTAGCATATTTAGCCACATCTACTAGCATATTTAGCTACATCTACTAGCATATTTAGCCACATCATCTAGCATATTTAGCCACATCTACTAGCATATTTAGCTACATCTACTAGCATATTTAGCCACATCTACTAGCATATTTAGCCACATCTACTAGCATATTTAGCTACATCTACTAGCATATTTAGCCACATCTACTAGCATATTTAGCCACATCTACTAGCATATTTAGCCACATCTACTAGCATATTTAGCTACATCTACTAGCATATTTAGCTACATCTACTAGCATATTTATCCACATCTACTAGCATATTTATCCACATCTACTAGCATATTTAGCTACACCTACTAGCATATTTAGCCACATCTACTAGCATATTTAGCTACATCTACTAGCATATTTAGCCACATCTACTAGCATATTTAGCCACGTCTACTAGCATATTTAGCCACGTCTACTAGCATATTTAGCCACGTCTACTAGCATATTTGGCTACGTCTACTAGCATATTTAGCTACGTCTACTAGCATATTTAGCAACGTCTACTAGCATATTTAGCTACGTCTACTAGCATATTTAGCTACGTCTACTAGCATATTTAGCTACGTCTACTAGCATACTTAGCTACGTCTACTAGCATATTTAGGTACATCTACTAACATATTTAGCCACATCTACTTTCACATTTAGCTACTTCACTGATTTGGTTCTTCCAACAGTGAAGTGATGAAGAACCTGAGAAGCTCTGAGGTGGATCAGTGTCTCCACAGTAATAAGGTCGGTGGTGTTTTGTTAAAAGAGGTGGGACACAATCTTCTTGACCTTAAGTCAGACACAGATCCAGACAAAGTCGTAAAGTCCTCCATCACTGAGCTTTGGTTCATTACAGAGAAAATCATAAACTGAAGATGAACAAATATATAAAGATGTGACCTCCATACACCTGAAATCATCCCTGATGTTCTCGTCACTGTTTTCAATCTTCTGAGGATCCAGCGTCTCTTCTCCGGTGGTTTATTGCCGTCCAGACACAAAGTAGGATGCAGGTTTTCCTCCGTCGGCCGTTTGTCAACAAAGTGAAATGAGCTCACATGCAGAGTTTAGGGTTTTCTCTTCAAGTTCACATTCTTCAGCCACGTTCTTCTTAATTCCTCAACTGTAGGTAGGAGATGAAACTAAACCTGTTTTCACAGGAACTCTTTTAGTTTTGGCTTCGGGTTCAAACTCTGTTGTTGGAGCCTCTGATTTAGTTTGTTCTGGTTGTTCTGCAGCAGTGAACACAACAGGTACCTAAACGCAGCACGGCTACTCTATGGTTGTTAAATAAATGTGAACAAAACAGAAACAGAGTTTTATCTGCTAAACTGAATGTAAATTACTTTCAAATAAACCGCGGTCCGTGCTCCACTACCATGGTTAACCAATGCTGCTACTTCCTGTCTGACAGGAAGTAGTACCAGAATCATTAAGAGCAACCAGGAAGAAGGTGGAAAATTTCTCTCTAATTCAGCCGACTCTCAGCTATGACTTTTGTTTTTAAATTTGAACTATTTTACTAGTTTTTTACCCTCATTAAAAATGTATTGAGATCTTTTCTGATTTGTAAAAATCTTTAGTGCTCTGTGAAAACACATCAGCATACTAGTAACTATTTTTGTAACTATTAGCCATTATTTCTGAAAATCTTAGCTGTTGGCTCTGGTTTTGTAAATTGCAGACTTAAACTCTAAGAGATTTTAAGGTTTTAGCTTATGTTTAGGTAATTGTAGCATTTAGCTGCTGTTTCACTGAAACACATTTTGTTACATCAGACGACTCGTATTCCAACTAACTTCCTGTTCAGGGTTGTTTTGCTCGTGCACCTTCCTCCTGGTTGCTGCAGACGTGATCAGTTCTGACAAAAGTCCAGAAGATAAGGAGCTTCTGAGAAGAAAGTTGGCCAAGATTCACGTTCCCGTCACACAGAAACGAGAATCAGATGAGCTTCTGTACATTGGAGGCTACATTTATGAGGCGCGCACTGCAGGCAGGACTGCTGTTCATTTATCACGGCAGAATCCAGAGCACTTCGCCTCTGACGTGCACATTAAACATCCTTTACGCTCACACGCACGTTTACTTGGAAACACCGAGGACAGTCAGACAGCCTCTGTTTGGTTTATTAACGAGAAAACATTTATATAGAGCAAATCATTAGAAAACTTCTCACAAGCAAAGCTAAACTTACAGCGTTCCACTGCCTGCTGCCATGAA